GGCGCCGGCCCGACGCCGCTCGGCGGCGCTCTTCCTGGGGCTGCTGAGCGGCTTCGCCGCGCTGGTGCGCCCCGACCTGCTGGCGCTGGTTCTGCCGCTCGGCGCCCTGGCCCTGGCGCTGGTGCCGGCGCCCCGAGAGGCGCGCCGGCCGGCCCTGGGGGCCTTCACGGTGGCGGCGCTGGCGGCGATCCCGCTCGGCCTTCTGCTGCGCGGACAGGTCCTCGACCTCGACTTCGCCCTGCGCTGGCCGGCCGGCGCGCCCGCCGCGCTGGCCGACTTCGTGCGGGTCAACGCCGTCACCCTCACCGCCGGGCTCTCCGGCCTCGCCCTGCTCGGGCTGCGGGTCTGGCGGACCGCCGCGCTGCTGTACGGGCCGCTGCCGCCGTTCGCCGGGGCGGCGCTTTTCCTCGCCCCGGCCTTGCCGACGCCGCTGGCGGCCCTGCACCTGCCGCTGCTGCCGCTGCTGCCGCTGCTGGCGGTCGCCTTCGCCGTGCTGCTGGCCCGGGCGCTCGACGCGCTGCCGACGCTCCGCCCGGCCGACGATCTCGGCCGCAGCGCGGCGCTGCTGCTGGGGCTGGTCTACATCCTCCACTTGCTGGCGCTCGATCTCGGCACTGCGCCGCCGCCCATCGGCCTTCCGGTCTAGGGTCCGGACCCTAGTCCGGGTCGGACAGGGCGAGCGCCGCCAGGCGGGCCTGCAGCCGGGGCGCGGCGAAGTCGACGAAGGCACGCAGCTTGGGCGCCACCAGGCCGCTCTGGGGGTAGACCAGGTGCACCGGGACCGGCGGCGGGGCGAAGGGCTCCAGCACCGGCACCAGCCGGCCGGCGCGGATCGGCTCGGCCAACATGTAGGACAGGCCCAGCGTGATCCCCTGGCCCTGCTCTGCGGCGGCGAGGGCCGCCAGCGCGTCGTTCACCTCGAAACGCGGCACCACGGCGACCTGCTGCGGCCGGCTCGCCGCCTGATAGTGCCAGCGCTGGTTGGGCATCAGGCCGGTAAAGCCGATCAGGCTGTGCCGCGCCAGGTCGGCCGGCGTGTCCGGCCGGCCGTGGGCCGCCAGGTAGCCGGGGCTGGCGACCAGCAGGCGCCGCACCGCGCCGAGCCGACGGGCGATCAGGCTGGAGTCCGGCAACGGACCGATGCGCACCGCCAGGTCCAGCCCCTCCTCGACCAGGTTGACCACGCGGTCGACCAGCAGGGCGGACACCCGCACCTGGGGGTGGGCGGCAAGAAACGCCAGCACCACCGGGGTCAGGGCCGCCCGCCCGAAGGTCGCCGAGGCGGTGACGCTGAGGTGCCCGCGCGGCTGCGCCGCCTCGCCGGCGGCGTCGCGCTCCGCCGCCTCCAGCTCGCCCAGCAGCCGGCGGGCCGAGGCCAGGAAACGCCGCCCCGGCTCGGTCAGGCTGAGGCTGCGCGTGGTCCGGTTCAGCAGGCGCACGCCCAGGCGCGCCTCCAGCCCCGCCACCGCCCGGGTGATCGCCGGCGGCGAGAGCTGCAGGGCGCGCGCCGCCTTGGCGAAGCCGCCGCTTTCGGCGACGGCGACGAAGACCTCCATCTCGCGCAGACGATCCATAGCCATTCCTCAAAACGAAACAATGAATTGCGTAATCTACCTATTATTGCCCAAAAGCGCAGCCTCCACATCCGCCGCCGGAGCAGACCGCACCGGGAGAGAGTCATGGGACACCGCTACGCCGAGATCGCCTTCACCCAGACCGTCAAGCGCCTGCAGGCCGAGGACGGCAGCCGCGCCGCCTACGCCCGCCTGGAGGCGGACGCCGAGCCGGCCAACCACCTCTTCGGGCCGGTCGAGACCGCCTTCGTGCAGGCGCGCGACAGTCTCTACATGGCGACGGTCGGAGAGACCGGCTGGCCCTACCTGCAGCACCGCGGCGGGCCCGCCGGCTTCGTGCGGGTGCTGGACGCCGGCACCCTGGGCTTCGCCGACTTCCGCGGCAACCGGCAGCACATCAGCGCCGGCAACCTGCAGGGCGACCCGCGCGTCTCGCTGTTCTTCATGGACTACCCGAACCGGCGCCGCCTGAAGGTGCTGGGCCGCGCGGAGACGGTCGACCCGGCCGACACCGCCCTGCTGGACGCGCTCGCCCTGCCGGACTACCGCGCCCGGGTGGAGCGCGGCCTGCTGATCCGGATCGAAGCCTTCGACTGGAACTGCCCGCAGCACATCACGCCGCGCTTCAGTCCGGCCGAGGTGGAAGGCTTGGTCGCGCCGCTGCAGGCCCGCATCGCCGAGTTGGAGGCGGAGCTGGCCCGTCTGTGGGCGCCGCAGGCGTAAGCCCGCGCGCGCGGCGGAGCGGGAGGGGTCATCCCCGCAGAGCACGCCTGCGCAGCAGGCGGACCGGCGGAAAGCTCACGCAGTCCAGGCTGTCGAACAGCACCTCGAAAGGCGCCCTCGGCCGGGCCGCGAAGGCCAAGGCCGCGTCGCGCCGCGATTCGCCGACCGCCATCGCCAGGGTGCAGTGGGGCAGCCAGGCCGCCGGCCGGTAGTGGGCATGACAGTGCGCGGGGTCGAGCCGCGCGTGCAGGGCCCGGTGGAGCCGGCGCAGTTCGGCGTCGTCGTCCGGCGCGGCCCAGAGCACCAGGGGCGGGCCGTCGAACCATGACAGCTTGCCAAAGCGCAGCCGCAATCCGCCGGCGGGCAGCGCCACGGACTCGACGAAGTCGGCCAGGGCCCCGCCCTCGTCGGTCGCGTAGACCCCGAGCGTGACATGCGGCGCATAGCCCAGCCGCGCCATCGAGGGCGTGGCCTCGAAGGCGGCGGCATCGCGCCACAAGGCCCGGATCGCCGCCGCGCTGGGGTCGCTCGACCGCACCGTGATCGCATGGGGCATGGGGACCTCGGCCGGCGGCCCCACCAAAGTGGGTCCACACGGTCGCAAACCGCCCTAGCCCTGAGCCGCCGCCTCGTCCGCGCGGGCCCGCTCGATCAGCGCCTCGACCTTGGGCAGGATGCGCTCGACGATCTCCGCCACCCCCTCGGCGTTGGGATGGATGCCGTCGGCCTGGTTCAGCGCCGGCACCGTCGCCACGCCCTCCAGAAAGAAGGGGTAGTAGACCGGGTCGTAGCGCTCGACCAGGCGCGGGAAGACGCTGTCGAACTCCTCGGCGTAGTCCTGGCCCAGATTGCGCGGCGCCAGCATGCCGGCCAGCAGCACCGGAATGCCGCGCGCCTCCAGCTCGGCGAGGATGGCGTCGAGGTTCGCGTAGGTGTTGGAGGGCTCGATCCCGCGCAGGCCGTCGTTGGCGCCGAGCACGACGATCGCGGCGTCCGGCGCTTCGGCCAGCGCCCAGTCCAGCCGCGCCAGGCCAGCCGCGGTGGTGTCGCCGGAGTTGCCGGCGTTGAGCACGCTGACCTCCTCGTAGCCCGCCGCCTTCAACCGCGCCTCGAGCTGCGCCGGGAAGGGCTCGCCGGCCGGCAGGCCGTAGCCGTGCACCAGGGAATCGCCGAAGGCGAGGATCTCCAGCGGCGCGGCGCGCGCGGCCGGGGCGAGGAGCGGGAGGAGCAGGACGAGTGTGGCGAGAAGACGCATGACGCCCCAAGAGTTAAGTGCGCGGCGCCGGCGATCAAGCGACTGATCGGCCGCGACCGCCAGCGCGTAGACTCCGCCAAGCCCGTCACGACGGCTTTCAATCCGCGCTGCGCCGCCCATATCGGGGGCGGGACCCGGCGTTGCACAGGACCCGGGCAGAACACCGGGCCGGCGCAAGACACGGGGCCCCCGCCGCGAAGGACACTGCATGACCGAGCCGATGATCACCCTGACGAACCTGGAGCTGACCTACGGCAACGAAGCCGGCCCCGTGGAGGTGCTGCGCGGCCTGAACCTGGAGGTCGGCCGCGGCGAGACCGTCTCCGTGGTCGGGCCCTCGGGCTCCGGCAAGTCGTCGATGATGATGGTGATGGCCGGCCTGGAGCGCGCCAGCGCCGGCCGCGTGGCGATCGACGGCACCGACCTCGGCGACCTGGACGAGGACCGGCTGGCGCGCTTTCGCGGCGAGCGAATCGGTATCGTCTTTCAGGACTTCCACCTGATCCCCACCATGTCGGCGCTGGAGAACGTCGCCGTGCCGCTGGAGCTGGCCGGC